ACAACGGGCACCTCTTTTTTCCTTTTACTTCTTGGGACACTGACGAAATCAGTTGGTTTTGGGGGGAGAAAAGGTCGTTGTGGTTGGTGCTTGGGCCACCGGCCTCCCACCGGGCGTCCACCGGGATTTCTTGAGCTCCGCGGCCCACGGCCCACGGCCAATTTACCGTGCCTTCCCAGCCAGACTTGGGTGACTTTACCCGTTACCTCAAGGCATGCCAAGTGCCGGGCAAAGCTACAGCAACGCCGAAAACCAGGCACGGCCAAGGAGCTTTAGGCGTCATGCTCTGGGGTAACAGGTCATTCTGGACCACTACTGGCTAGAAAGGGGGTTTCTTTGAGCCTCGGGTAATCGAATGCTGACTATGTACACCCTTCCCCAGTTCTTGCTTGTACCAACCCCATGGAACTTTCTCGGCCAAAGATATTTCCAATGATCGACTTATCCGGTGGTATATTCTTTTGGGGGAAGCCGATAATGATATTCCCCCCATTTCTGAAGGCCGCGCACCCCCAAGAGTCAGGATAGAAGGACACACCCTTTTCCAGAAACTGTCATTCAATTCCTTCCCCGAGAGGTGCGGCGGGCAGCAGGCAGGCGATTACTTTTTTTCTCCTCTTCTTTTGTCATTGATATCCTTAGGTTGTCCACGATCCCCCCGCTCCCGGCATCATGGTCTTCTATCCTATGAAATGGGTCCCATCCCTCCCCGAGATCCCTGATACCGTGCCCATATGCGATTTCATGCTCGATGAGCAATACGGTCGCTCCCCTTACTCCCAGTCCAAGGATGCATACACCTGCGGTCTCACGGGGAAGAGCGTCTCGGCGCGACAACAGAAGGAAGATGTCGACTCGTTGTCTCGCGCACTGGCCAAAGAGTTTGGTTGGGGTGTCAATGAGGGCACGGAATATGACAAAGTCGTGGGCATTTTTGCGCTGAATACGGTACGTCGGGGCCCCTTCGTTGGATGTGGTTTTATAAAAGTGAATACCAATGTTAACGCACGGGGCACGATCAGATCGACATCATGACCCTCACCTGGGCAATCCACAGAGTCAATGGCATCTCTGCGCCCGCCAACGCTGCCTTCAACTCCGACGAGCTGAGTTACCAACTCACCAACTCAGGGTCCAAGGTTCTCTTTACTGTGATGCCTTTGCTGCAGACTGCCCTGGATGCCGCAGCCAAGTCGAACATTCCCAGGAAAAATATCTACATTTGTGAAATGCCCAACGACCCTCCCATCCCCAAGGAATTCAAAACCCTGTCTCAATTGACAAGGGAAGGCCGGTCGCTGTCACCGCTGGAACCAATCAAATGGGAGAAGGGTCAAGGTGAACGGCAGACCGCGTTCCTGTGCTACTCCAGTGGTACCTCGGGACTGCCAGTAAGTTCTCTGCGGCACTAGAGCATGAAAAGCGATCCTGACATGAAATTACAGAAAGGAGTCATGATATCCCATCGGAACGTCATCGCCAACACCATCCAGATCTCCACGTATGACAAGCCCGCCCGCGACGCAATTGCCCCCAACTATCGTGATGTGGCGCTCGGTCTGCTCCCTCAGTCGCATATCTATGGCTTGATCGTCATCTGTCACTGTTCCACCTACCGCGGCGATCAAGTCGTTATTCTTCCAAAGTTCGACCTGACCAACTATCTCACGGCGATTGAGAAGTTTAAAATCAACACTCTCTACATCGTGCCGCCCATCATCATCGCCATGGTCAAGAACCAAGATCAGACGAAAAAATACGATCTATCAAGCGTCGTGTCCATCTTTACCGGTGCCGCCCCTCTAGGCAAAGAGACCGCCGAGGAGTTGGCCGCGCAGTTTCCCGCCTGGCAGGTTCGACAAGGCTATGGTCTCACTGAGACATGCACTGTCGTGTGCTCGACCTCTCCCCGCGACATCTGGTTCGGTTCTTCAGGGTGTTTGCTCCCCGGATACCAGGCCAAGGTCATGAGCGCCGAAGGCAACGAAATCACGGGATACAACCAACCCGGTGAACTCCTCGTCAAGTCCCCCAGCGTCGTGCTTGGGTATCTCAAGAATCAAAAGGCCACCATGGAAACCTTTGTCGACATGCCTGAGGGCAGATTCATGCGGACAGGAGACGAAGTCGAGTTCAGAGTGTCGCCCAACGGCAACGAGCACATCTGGGTGGTGGATCGCATCAAGGAGTTGATCAAGGTCAAGGTGAGTACTTTTCCAAGAAACTGCGAGCGCAGTAAGGACTAACAGGCCGCAGGGTCACCAAGTTGCCCCTGCAGAGCTCGAAGCATGCCTGCTCAACCACCACGCCGTGGCCGACTGCGCGGTAATCCCTGTCTCAGACGACCGCGCCGGTGAAGTGCCCAAGGCCTTTGTCGTCAAGGCTAAGTCGGTAGGACTGGAGGAAAGCGATGCCCTCGTCAAGCGTGACATTATCAAGTACGTCGAGAAGGAAAAAGCCCGGCACAAATGGCTGGCCGGCGGCGTCGAATTCATCGACGTGATCCCCAAGAGCGCCAGCGGGAAGATCCTCCGCAGGCTGCTGAGAGATAGAGAGAAGGAGGCTAGAAGGAAAGCCGGCGCCAAGCTATAACACAGAGCTTTCGCCTCCGCAATCAAGGGGGAAGTTTGGCAGGGAGGAGCTTCAAAACAGGGAAGATTGGGAGATCCAGGAGTCTTCTTTGTATCGGGTGCGTGGTTGTGGGGAGGCTGTAGACTGTCCAAAGCGAAGATTGCACAGATTGAACAATTGCATCAGCTTATCTTTTGAGCTTTTGACTCGATGGCAGTACATACCACAGATTGTTTGGTCCGAGGGACATGTATGCCAACATACATGCCTGTCTGCTTGCTGTTGCCTACCTGCTTCTTATGAAATCACATTTGATCGCATTTGAGAGGCAAGGCGAGAGTTATGAGTGTCAGAGGTGGTTAAGGTATCGGATATCAGATATTCAAATTGTATGTAATGGCTAGTTACATAGGTACATGTCTCGAAGCAAGAAAGAGAAGGACCAATCAATCAACTAATTGTTCTGTAACCGTCCCTTACATGAAGGAGATGCAGAAAGCGTCCTTGGCCTTTGTCAAAATTCCCGCGAAAATATGTACCGAATCCTCGGCCGAATAATATGCTCGTGAATCCATTTTTTTAGTGAGGGAAAGGCTGACGAAACTAGTTTTATTCCGACAATACCCTTACCCCACTTTATACTAAGTATATGACATGTAAACACAACTTTTCATCAACAATCAGCAGTAGCACTGGTGGTTTAGTGGTAAAATCCATCGTTGCCATCGATGGGGTGAGTTGAAGCAACCAACCACAAGGCATGTTTGACAAATTTCTAACATTACTTCGCAGCCCCGTGTTCGAGTGAGTTTCAACCTATAACAACCAGTCCAGCCTGATTTCCAAACTAACAACTCCAAGTTCACGGCCAGTGCAAGACATATTTTCTTTTTGCCCCGACGAATTTTTTTGTCATTTTCTCCGCAGTGGTCTGTGTGCATGAAGGCTTGGCGGCGGCCTAAAAGCCGTGGCATACGTGGCCATCCCACTAGCTGACGATTATTAGCACTTCAAATTTTAACTATAGGTGGCCGGGCGCTCTTTTGAAGGAGGTATTGACAGAGGACAAAGGGCCATTACTCAAAAAGGTGAAAGGGAAACCTATCCCTAATGAATGAAGGTCACTCTAAATGACAGCCACTTGGACATCCTATCACCCACGTCTCAAATTAACACATAGTGCGTGTTCATCCTTTATACCCCGCGAGTTTGGCCGCTTCTGTAGTCGATGCCTCACGTCACGGGCGGCACTTGACCGAGTCAGGACTAGCCTGACTCTGGCCACTGCCGTCCCTTATTCTAGTTACATACTCAGGTCGCAGACTCTCTCTCGTACTTACTCTCTTCAGTCAGAAAGAATACACTCGACAAAACCAACCCGCCATTGCGGCAACTTCCCTTTTCCTTTAGTTGTGGGCTAGTGCTTGACTCATTCAATTGACGTCTCGCAACAAACTGGTAGCAACGCTCCCTCCCATCCTTCGCCGTTGGTCTCATTTCAAGACCGGGAACAATCTTTGAGGCCATCCGGCATGGCGTCGGTTGCCCCTCACCATCCGCCTACATAATTTCCTGCATACTCGTCGAACTCGATCCTCACTTACCTTTCACCCTGTCCCCTTGATTGTGCCGGCCATCTAACAATCAAGTCGAATCCGATCGTCCCCCTTCTTCTCGAGCTGAGGTCTGGACAGATCACAGCGAATCCGTGTATCAGAAACGGCACGGAAGAGCTGCTGTCTGCGATCTCTGTGTCTCGACATCTCTCCTGGACGGACTTGTGTTCCCCTGGCGAGGGGTTGCATGTTCTTTCGAGGCATGTCAGTTGCCAGGACCAATAGCAAGGACGTCGCCACCATCATTTCTTTGATTTGATGCTGCTGGCCTTTCACTCTTCCACAATCACAGCCACATAAAAACAACCAAAACCGGGGCGGGGGGGAAAAGATATGGAAAATCAATACAATTGTCACCACCTGATAGCCAAGAAACGATAACTTTTGAGCACGCAACATTCAAGACGCAATACTCGGACAGACTCAACTCAAAAAGCATTGCCGCCAACTTCTCCTTCGCATGCTTGCCTCAATATGGCACCCTTCGTGGTAGAAGAGACAAGTAGTCAGTCGATTCCAGCACCTGATAAACTCGCAACCCGCTTGATATGTATATCAGTAAGAGGATCGCGAGGCAGGTACCAGTCCTGCATGCAAAACAAGCAATATCTCATTCACTACCTAGGTAGCTTCCTCCTCCACGGTCATACCTGACAATCCTGATCCAGCTGCGCCTTCCTTCTGGGATCCGTGGCCGCACCTGCCTGCTCCGACCACCCTCTTCAGTGAACAACTATCGTCACTCCTCCTATTTGTTGTCTGCACATTGCCAGCATCACAAGTCATCTCATCGACACTACCGAAGGCCTCCTCATGACGCTCTCTCAGCAGTCACATGCTCAAATCTCGGGCCCGAAGGACAAACAGCCTGCTCCTCGAGTGCCCCGAGTTCGTTCTCGACACCAGCGACGCAAGCACCATGCGGCACCCTATGTCGAAGGTATCCCACCGCAACGTGTCCTCGTGCCTCCTACCCCCTCCACCCAGGCTAGTATGGATAGTTTCCTCCCGAGGACAGCAGCCACAACGTGTTCCTGGGATTTTTCGGATACCTCAAAAGGTGAATTTCAACATCCCAGGCCTTGTTGACGATAGACCGCCTCTTAGTCTAACCTATATGAACAGATCCCCTTGTACTCAGCAATACAGAGAGCAATGCCGATATTAACGACGCTCCGATAGGTATGACCGATGATGATTGTGATCCTCTGAAAGGAGACCCCACTGACTCGTGTCTCAGGTGACTCTGAGCACTCAAACTTAAGTGGAGCTCTTGAATGGATCAACCATTCCAGCGACTATATCAGCGAGACACAAAGTGGCAGCAACGTCGGAATTTCTCCACTTCTTGTTGACGAAGACCGCTGAAAGAAAAGAGCTTTAGGGCACGATGGCGGTGTTGGACGCCTCCATACGCTCCCTATCGAGAGAACTCTATCCCACCAGATCGATCCTTCGGAACACAGAAAGATTGACGTTGCTTCTTGGCCGACAGCATAGAGTGCGTCAACCAGTTTGGAACGAGCAGTTGATTCTTCCCAATATCTACAGAATTTTAAGAACCCCGCTGAAAAGCTCGAAACTCTCACAACGGTCATTGTGATAGCCCGAAAGAGTGACAAAGTGAGCAGTACAGTTGTCAAAGGACTTCTTTCTCGCTGTCAAGACTTACACAACCATATCATGGAACACATACACGGTCAGCTTCCGAACCATCCATGTTCCACTCGCTGTTCGAGTGCAGACTATGTGCCTATTGTCCTCAATCACTGTTCATCGAACTGCAACATTGCACAATCTACCAAGACCCAAGAAATCGCAAAGCTTCGCAAAACCCTTGATTTACTCGAGGCTAAAGCTGACGCTCGACAAACCCGTGTAGTCATTGCTATGTCGGGGATTGACGGGTTCTGCACCAACATTGATGGACTCCATGAATTCTTTAGAGTCTATGTCAATATCATCATTACATTCATCGTGTTTCAGGGCCAGGATCAATATCAGCTCTATTCAGCGAAAGCTCTGCTGTCAGCCATTCAAGACATCAAGGCTCAGACAGTTGTTCCGGAGAGCCCACCTCATTTGTTTATCCTACGCATGGTTTCTGTTGCTATCGGGAAAGAGAAACATGCAGACAGCAACAGGGACCTTCAACGAATGCTTACCGAACGTCGAAACAGCGAGTGGGTGCCCTACGAAACCAGACGCCCGAAGGAGCCTACCGAGATCGAGGTTGAGGCCGTTGTTGGCACACTGCCCGAGCAGAGTGGTGCGGTTCTTCGCTATGGTCTTGAACGAAATGACCAAGGGCGATTCATTTGTCCATATCAACCATGTGCCACCAACTGCACCACAAGTGACAATATCATCATCCACTTGATCAGCCATTGCCGCACCCAAAGTAAATGCGTGCTCTGTCCCACTGATCTAATCAGCAAATTCTCCGCTGGGAATTTCAAAGACAGTCCAAACTCTGCATTCGTCATTAGCCTCAAGGAACGCCTGATGCACCACTTGCCCCCAACATACTTCTGCACGTATGAAGGTTGCCACAGGTCATATCATACGTCAGGCGGGCTCAAGAGACACGGATCCTACCACAAAGATTCAAACGACGAGATGGTGCCATGCCCAAACTGTGGGAAACTACAAAAGAGGAAATCTCTGTCCCGTCACATGGGGTTGTGTTCAGACGATGAAGCCACGAAGAAGCTGTATCAGTGCGCCATATGCAACGGAGTCTTCCCTAATGCCGCTAAGCTCAACAATCACATCCGCAATGCTCACCATCGGAGAGATGAAATCATAGATATCGCGGCTAATTCGGGACTCCTCAATGCCGGCATTCCGGGTTTGGGATTGGACGCGTCTGCTGCCATACAAGATGCTGTCGATAATATACAATCCGCCCCAATGCAAGAACATGATAGCAACTTCTCAAAACTTGAAATTTGGCCGGCGAAAGCGAAAGCGAACGGTCTCCGCACCTCCGACCCTGTTCGCTCTCTTTTCCCTGGAAAATGAATGTTGCGGCTCCTCGTCATATGTCCTCCTTGACTGTCGTTTTAACTAGGTGCAACGTTCCTCAACTGAATCAGTGGTGAAATTGGGTCAGACAATACTTAACAGAAATATTTAACAGAGTATGAGATGAGGCATGGGCTGCTGGTAAGCACTTCTTCGACTTCAGCAGTCGGTGCTTTTATGGATGACCATTGGTCAATCTGCTGAACCCGCCTTGCTTGTGCGGTGCTTACAGTGTTTTGGTGAAGCCGAGCCTTGAAGATCGGGACGGCTAAGCTATTCCATTGATAGGTAGTTCTTTTGACCAAAATCACTATTGAGACTGTCATGTTGTGCATCATTTAACTTGTCAAAGCGTGAAGCAGTAGCAGTCTTGTTGACGAGCCTCGAGGATCTCGATGTAATGGCACGACAGAACTTGACTCCAAAATAAAATTGGCAAGGTTACAGAGGCATAGAATGATTACCACGCTAGCCCTTCGGTCGAGAAATGAACTATGGCTCGGAAGCCCCTTGAGATACGTTGCATGACAATGCCTAGTCATAATCGATGGCAACGATGGATTTTACCACTAAACCACCAGTGCTGTTGCTGGATGTTGAGGGAAATATGGAAAATATAAAATATATTACACAAATTTAGTGAATTGGAGATGTGGTGGGGGAGCTACAGAGAGGAAAAGTGGGGTCTGGCCTTGCGTTACATGGCGTGCATCCGAACCCTAGCACGTAGGTGAATTTCCAAGTCGACGCCGTGGTGGTAGTACCTCTCGCCAGATCCTTTATGCCTACTCTCTTCCCTATAAATAGGTTCCCCATCTACGAGGGTATATGCAGTACTATCCATATCCTGCGCCTCTTGTAGAGCAGACAACATGGTGAAGACGTAAGAAGTACTTCTGGATACTTCTGGTTGCTTGAGTGGCCAGTTACTTGTACATGCCTCCTACTTCTGCACACCTACATCAGAAGGCTCTGGCAACAGATTCATTCTTTTATCCCCGAGGGTTGGACAGCTCCGAGAGTTCATGCAATCACCTTTTAAAGGAACCCGAGGTTGGTTCACAAGAGGGTCGAGGACAGAAGCACTTCCAAGAAGAGACCGTTGGCTGCGATTATGCAAGTACGTAGCGTAGTTGTGCATCCGTACTACGAGTGGGTAGCCTTGTGATTTACTACACGGTGGTGATCCATATGAACCTGCCTTTTTCTCGTGATGAGGATACGACGCTTCACGATCGTTAAGAGATGCCTCTGTTACATTGAAGATGCTCTTGGACTGGGAAATGAAATGAATGTGTCACGATGAGCCATGCCATGCGGCACAGCTGTTTTGATTCTCGGTAAATTTTCTCGACTGCCCATCTACGAGATACGTCTCTTCGATTGACATGGCCATATGCCTCACCAAACCTGTGGCTGGCATGATTATGTTTCGGATTTACATCAGGCTGATCAAGGTAGTTTGTAGTGGCTCAATGTGGGAAACTCGATGGAGTCAACCAAGCAGGTGAGCCCTACCTCGCACTTGACGATTGCTAGAATTCACCCCCCTCATCGCCGCCACCACCGCCATAGGCAAAGCCATCCTCATCATCTCCTTCGCCGCCATCAAAGTAGTTCTCCGCGTTGTAATCATCGGCTTCGCCGTCGTCAGACTCCTCGAACTCGGAATCCACGGGCTCGTCGTCGTCATCGTCGTCATCGTCTCCTGCCTCCTCGTCGCCGTCTGCGCCGTTGTTTTCCTGCGGATCGGGGACATCGTCGTCGTCTTCATCTTCGTCCTCGTCGGACTCTCCGCCACCGCCGGACCCTTGCTTCTGCCGCTTCCTCTCCTTTGCGCGAATGCTCTCTATCAGAGAGCGTGCCTTTTTCTTGGTCGGCCCGAAATCGTCTTCGGCGTCAAGACCGCGCTTCTCGCGTGATTCGGTCTCGCGGCGCCGACGCTTCTTCTTTGCTGCCTTCGCCGTTCGTGCGCGGCGAGACCCGGAAAGGAGCGGATCCGAGTCGTCGGTGTCATTGCCTTCATCGTCGGCAATCTTGGCCGAGGCATCTTCGCCTTCTTCGTCGTCTTCGAGGACAAGGACATCTCGCTTCCGCTTCAGTGATTTGCGATTCGGGGTATTCGTCGCCACGTCGATATCCGCCGACAGCCAGAGCGGACTCTTCTTTTCCGGGTCGAGGAGGGGCCAGAGTTCTTGTGGAAAGTATTTCAAGGCTAGAAGTTGATAGGAGATTAGCCAGAGTCTCTCCTACATCCTTTGTCCCAACCAAAAGCTCCGTTGCGTCCCAGCAATTTGTTGTAGAGTGGTTTAGTGACGTACCATACTCTCTCCCACTCCCCTTCAAGTCCGGTAAAGTCCTCTTCTTCTTGTGATATTTGGCCGTGTACTTGTCCTGATCGTTGAACGGATCAAACCCCGCGCGCTTGAGTGTTGTGCCCGTCTTTTCATCCGCAATGCTACTGGGGTCGAGGGTCGCAAAGTACGGTCCATTGCGGGTGCGGGTGCGGAAGGATAGGTAGCGACTGACGGCAGCGAGTTCGCGGGACGTCGGCGGGCGAGGGACGGGGAGATCGATATCCTGTAAAAGTTTTGAGAGCGCCCCAGTCAGGACTGTTTGTCTGTGAAGGTGGTTTTTGGTGGTAATGTATCTTGGGAGAAGGGTTCAGGGGCAAACGGTACTGGAAATAGTGCCTGTGGCTTTTTCTCGGTCGGCGCGAGAGAAATGTCGTCGTCGTCGTCAAAGTCCAATTCGGGAGGCAGGGGGCCTTTTCGACCGCCTCCACCACGTCCTCTTCCCCGTCCACCTCGCGACATCGTGGTCTGTCAGTCGAGGAGCATCTGTCACGCGACGTTGGAGTTCATGCTGCAATGTGCTAGCCGGAAGTCTGGAAACTGAGAATATTGGGTGCAGAAAACAGTGGTGCTAATCCTGGCAGTTAGATCTCTATGCAAAGAACTTCGCAACAGAAAATCGGTCGGCAGAATTTGGGGGAGGTGGGGCAGTCACATCACCGCCTTGACGAGGCTGCGCAAGGCTAAGCTCTCCGCATCATCAATCACTGAAAATTACGACGAAGCCTCTGATCCGAGTACAAAAAGCCAGATACATATAGCCCACTATGAAACGTTGCTTTTATCTACAGCGGAAATATGTACTATGCAATGCTAATCTAGCCATCGTTCCTCGCTGTAATCAACGAGATCGGCCACTCCATCCACACCGACCAGTGAGGTCCGAGGTGTGAGGAAATGGCCTCAATTAGAATGCGACCAGAGTCCCCCACGGCCCAACATTCTGTATAAAATGTCATCAAGGCTGCAAAGTATCCCAGGATAATCAAGGCCTCGGGTCTCCGTTGGTTGAGTCTTTCGAGGAAGTCGGGTTTGAGCTGTACGGGCCACGCCATTAACCAGCGGATGGTTGTGTGTCTTTCATCAGGCACTTTGGATACCGCAAACGCCCATTGCAGCCTCTCAATCGCTGATTCGTATGCGTCCCTTGATTGGTCTCCCAGGTCTGGATTCGTGTTTAACTTGGACAAGTCGAGGCAAGGCTGAGGAATTTGGTAAGGTGTCTCAGGCTGTTGGATTTCGAACATTGTTTTGAGTTCGGTCTGCTTCAGATATTGGTACCAGTCTTTGATGATGAGTTTGGGGACGTTGCGCATAAGCATGACGCAGTCGATGACGTGGTCGAGATACTGGTTCGAATCTAGGCCAGCCGTGCGAGAAGGGTCGGCGAGGATATGAACCGCAAGCAGCAAGGAAAAGAAGAGAACAGCGCCACAATTTGAGGCGTTGATGTCCCTCTCTGCGCTGTTGAACTTGTTGAGAGCCAAAGTTTGTAGTTCCGTAGATGCAGTATGGTACCATGTGGCGTCGTCAGGCTTCGTGTATGCGAGATGCAGCGCCGAGATTGCCAACAGCTCGTGCATGAGGAAAGGGAAGGATAAGGCCATACGAACTACCGTTCCTTGCCATATATACTGTACAGGTCCTTCGGCGTGGAATGTTTTGTATGTGGAAGTGAGGAATTGGTGCAAGAGTTCCAGATGCTGCATATTTAGGTTCGGGTCAAATGGCCCAGAAGGCGTAAGGACGGGTACAATACTGGATGGCTCGTGACCCTGCGGTCCTCGCTGGTCTGGAGTAGACGGCTGAGATGCACGCGCAACATTAGTTTCCGTGGCTGTGGCCTTCGTCGATGGAGGGGATGTGCTTGAAGCAAAGTTGCAGCCCAGCTCCGCGGTCTGGCAATTGATACATCGAGGGCGATTTTCATCACACTAAGTCGACTTTCAGTAACTGGTTCAAGTGCGGTTTCCGCAACGTCCTGCTCTCACCTTGATGTGCCGTTTTTTGCAGGCGAGACAGCCATTTCGAGACTTTTTGTGCGGTCTTCGCGGCATTGGGATCTTTTGTTCTCACAGCAACACAGCGATATTTCAAGGAATATTGCCCAATGAGACGGATATCTTGTCAGGCAGAGGATGCAGGGACGAATCGACTCGGGCGCTGTTGAGTAGGATTGGACAGCAGCCGAGCTGACCGTATCCGAAGAGAAATTGCGGTTGCCTGAATACCTCACGAATCTGGGCCTGCATATCGTCTACGGCCAAACTAGGAGTTGGAACCAGTGCTGAGGCTGAACAATAGGTGTAGTTTATGGAGCACCATTTCCAGTGTATCGTCTGTACAGAGATCGTCAGTAAACGAGGTTGTGTTGGTGATGTATTGGGGGGGGGGGAACAATGGAGGTGGCAAACCCTACCGCTAGTGGGAATTCAGAAGGCTTCTTTCTGCGGAGATGGACGATTGAGATGTGAAGAGCCAAAATCTCAGCAGTATAGAGTCAGCAATAATCGGGGTCTACTTCCAACTCGGCAGGCAGTAGGACAATGGACAATGGCATCGCATATGGAGGTATTGTTGAGGTCGGAAATGGGTTGGGGCGGCACGCAGAATTCTCCAGGTAGCAAAGGCAACTTCGCTTCTTACATACCTCGAATGTATTTTATATCCTTAACTACATTAACTCCAGTTGTCGGACACTTTTTCATCGCATCGTTCTGTTCGTCAGAGAGCATGCATTAGGATTTCAGTGTATTCGGTGCTTGCCATCCCCTTCGGCGTTTGATCCTGTCATCGCATGCCCGTCCGACGACCTTCTACACCATCCCCGACCAAGTCAACATGTTAGCGAACCTCTGCTTCCTCCTCTGCGGTTAGATTCTGTCACCTGCGACGCTAGTTGCAGTTTCTCAATTTGCCGCCCCCGAAGTCGTTCACCATGTCAGCAGCAACTTTGATTGTCCCTGCGCTGATCACTGGTTCAAACACAGTCAAAACTGGATTCGGGCGTATCAGCCACCACCGGTCGCGTATTCATGACCGACAGTATCTACGCTCTGAATGCACTCCCGAAGAATATACTAGGTTGGCACTGACACAAGAAAGAGGAGCACATAGTCAATGCTAGTCATCCAAGAGATAAACAACCAACAAGACAACAAGGGCCTAACGAGTGTACACGATTGAGAGAGCAGCGAAGCATTGCAGCACGGGAGACACCTGGACAACAACCCAACAAAGTATACTGAAGCCGAAGCATCTTACAGCAGGACCCAAAGAGGACCGCGCACAAGGTCAATGCCTCCATTGAGAGGGACCAGGTGATGAGTGTCTTGGCTGGGTGATCATGAAACTCTCTTCGTTTTGGTCGCAGAAAAGCACCTCAGCGCAGCCTCGGAGGCTGCTCGTCGTTGATTGGCTCCAATGATTTTTCTGTCCTGCCAAGCTCCTCTTCCGATTTTCATGCCATTGACTCATCTCTGTGCTCCGTGATGGGCAAAAGCGTAAGATTCTTCAGACCGACTTGTCCAAATCCAAGATTACCATCCATCGTCTCTTGTCCCTACTGACTTGGTGTTCATTTCCCGCGACATCAAGCACGTCACCTGGTGAATCTAGCTGAATACAGAACCCTCAGACTACCAGCCTTCGTCAAACATGCCCGGCCGCTCAGAAGTTGCCTATTTCGGGGCTGGTCCCGCCCCTCTTCCTACCCCTGTCATTGAGAGTGCCGCCCAAGCATTTGTCAATTTCCAGGACACCGGGCTCTCACTGGCAGAAATCTCGCACCGTTCTCCTACAGCAAACAAGGTCCTCGCCGACGCCAAGGACGCCTTGGCAACTCTGTACGATATCCCCACAGATGAGTACGATGTGATGTTTATGGAAGCAGGCGGCACCGGTGAATTCAGTGCCGCCCTTCAGAATCTGGTGGGTTGTTGGATTGAACGTCGTCGGAGAAAGGCCGTGGCGGAGCTAGGGGAAGGCAAGGAAGCCGAAGTCCTAGAGCGGGTCAAGAAGGAGATCGAGGCAGAGTTGAAGGTTGATTACCTGGTAACCGGGTCATGGTCTCTCAAAGCCTGCCAGGAAGCTACGAGACTCATCGGTGCAAAATATGTCAATGTTGCCACTGACGCTCGGAAGAGCAATGGCGGCAAGTTTGGGAAGATCCCAGATGAGAGCGAGTGGAACCTAACACCAAAGGGGAGTGCATTGACTTATTTGTGCGACAACGAGACTGTCGACGGTGTCGAATTCCCCGACTTCCCCAAAACTTTAGAGAACACCAGCGGGAATGAGGAAGAGGACAGGATCGTGGTGGCAGACATGTCGAGCAATTTTCTGAGTCGAAAAATCGACGTTCGGAAATATGCAGTCATCTTCGTGAGCCAACGATTCCATTTGTGTCCCTCAATGCGGTGCTAACTATTATCAGGGCGGTGCTCAGAAGAATCTCGGTATTGCCGGCATTACTGTGGTTATCATTCGGAAGTCCTTGCTCAGCCTCGTACCACCTCCAACATTCCTCCACGCCTTATCCCCTGTGATCCCGACCTCAGGATGTCTGCCGCCCATCATGCTCTCCTTCTCTACCATTGCAGCAAACAACAGTCTCTACAATACACTTCCCATCTTCAACCTGTATGTTGCGACGTTAGTCCTGCAGCGTCTCGTTTCCACATTCGGCTCTACCAAAGTCTCTGGTCAGGAAGAGGTGGCCAACCAAAAAGCCAAACTCTTGTATGAGACCCTTGATTCTCACCCAGAGACGTACTACGTCGTGCCGCACAAAAGCGCAAGGAGCCGGATGAACATTTGCTTCCGAATCATCTCAGGGCCGAAAGCAGGCAGCGGAGAGGTAGTGCCGGACGAGGCCAAAGAGAAGGCGTTCTTGACCGGTGCGGAACAGCGCGGGCTCCTCGGCCTCAAAGGTCACCGATCTGTTGGAGGTATCAGAGCGAGCAACTACAACGCCGTCTCACTGGAGAATGTACAGAAACTAGCTAGCTGGTTGATTGAATTTGCCGAGTCATGACCTGACATTGGTTGGCCGGGTCAAACATCCAGTAAGGAGAAACATGACCGATTTCGAAGTTTGACGGTCCTCATCGACCAGACCGGCGGTCGGAACGCTACCACTAGACATGAAAAGTACTGTTGTTTATTACGAATGAAGAGAATATATACAACGAGGTCTTGATTCTGACTGACGAACGGTGCTAGTACCAGTTTTCTTTAGTCAATGCTCGTCGTTCGAAATCTAGCAGTGTTCAGGCCGATTCGATCAGAATCAAAGTCGCTCGCCGCGGGTGCGACTGTTGAAGGCCTGGCACCAGGATAGTGGACAACAAGAGTGATTCAAGATGGTACCCTGCCATTTGCGAATTGTCATTGGCCTCTGTGTATCCTGCAACCTCGACCCAAGAGCGGAATAATCTCCTCGCTCGCCCAGGACGATTCCGATTGGGGCGGGATGACCCTAAGTAAGCGATTCTTATTTTGACGTGCCGGCACAGGTACCTAATTCGGTAAAATCATATTGTCCCAGGTCTCTCTCAAACATGTCACGAAGATACTTCCGGAGTCAAAAAGATCCTTGGTGGGAGATGACCATTTCTTACAATCTAGGACGTGGATACAGTCGTTGCCTCTGCCTCGCCAGGACCCAAAACTTGACCATCAACGCGTTTCCAAAACTACTCCTCTCCGTCCGAACACCAGGTTTGTCCCACATTGTCACCAAGTACACTGGCCAGGACTGCTGGATCAGGCTTGATATCCGCAAAGCCGGTTTTTTGAGTCGCCTCCATTGGAACCGGCGACTACAATGTCAGGAGGTGGGTGCGGCCCCGCCACCGCTTGCGCTCGCACCACCGCCTCGACTCCCACCAGGAAGCCGGCTCTTCAACGTGGCCGCCGATGGCATAGTCCTACTGACCTTGCCCACAAAGCCTGATGGCTTGTCCCTCCCAGGTGTGAGTTCAATTCCTGGGGGCACCTTCCCGTCGATACAAAAGGCGACTCCGGCCACGAGGACATCCGCCGTGTGGGTACCTGGTTGGGCCTTCGGGGCGCTTGTGTGAGACTCGCCCGGTAGCAAGACGGTTTTGGAGTTTGTCAGCCTTGTGGAGCTCACGGAAAAGGCCGATCCGTCATAGTCGACAATCTAATATGTAAAAACGGTCAGCTTTGAGCGTCCTCTCCCGGAAGCAGTGTCTTCCGCGCGCTGGACGCGAGAAGTGGAAAAGTGTGGAGGAAGCAAAACTTACCTTCGGGGTCCCTGGGACGACTGGCTCAGTCTCTTGCGCAGAGAATACGTTCACTGGTTTCTTTTTGGTCAGGCGGTCTTGAAACCATTGGTTGGAGGAGTCCGTGATGGCTTTTGATTCCGTCGAGTTTATTTGCAGCCCCCGGATCTTGGGCCCCGGTCGCATGAGGTATTAAGCCCGCCAAGATAACTCCCGGCTGGCCCCAAGGAGAACCCTGACCAGGGGAAGCAAGTCGGAATATGCCTAGACACGAATCCAACAGTGTACCCCATTGTTGACTTCGCTGATTAACGGCTGTCCTGGAATTTGCCGCTTGACCGCTGACCTCTGCAAAGGCTATCCCCATGGCCTGTTCAGGGCGTCTTAGCCCGGTTGCGTTGTAATGTTTCAAGGGGAGGGACAAATGATCGAAGTCAGCGTTTCAACTCACCGCCAGAATTTCCATACCACCCATGCTGTGGCCGACGGCTACCCAGTCCCTCCCCCGCACTTGTGACGCAACGGCATCCAAAAGCTCTGGGCGCTGTGGAGCTGATGTTCAGACTGACGTTCGCTGGGCTGAGCGGCGTGGTTTGCCATCCCACCTCAACGACTTCGACCGTTTTGTTAATTAAGGGCTCGAGCAGTTGATTGAGTTCTGTCGCCCAGCTGGTGCCATTTGCTCCGATGAACGCGGACTCAGAACTGTCCAACCCGTGGATAAGAACGACGCTGGAGGCGATGGTGTTAGCCCAAGCAGAACTATCGCACCACCAACGCAAGGATCGACCGTCGCGATGCGCCCCCCGGGAAGGGGGGGGCCCACTTGCACAATGGGTGCTTCAGGGTTTGATACTAGCGGACGGGCGGTCGGAGTCAAACTCGACGCGGTCGAACCGCTAGGGACTGCAGGTGCCTGTTGGACGGGAATCGCCGTTCCTTTTCCTTTTGATTTCTAAAATAAGCTCGACATTTTGGTAACAGATGAAAACAAAGAGGGAGTTGAGGCTGGAGTAAAAGAGGAGGGAGTGCGAGGCAGTTGGCCCTTTTTGTACGGCTGGCGACCTTGGCGATGCCTGTCTTTGAAATTAGGACAATGGTACTACGAAGAGAGGTTTCCCTGAGACCCGACCCGTCTTAGTTGTATAGAGCATGTGCAAGTGCTGTGGACGACATGAGGGCTGCGGCATCCAAGAATGGATATGGACAACAGCCTCGATCTGCCTCTTGAGACTCTAGTTTCCGCCCGAGTCCAAAAATAAGTCGACATGGACCAAAAAGCTTCCCCTTTCCTAGCCTGTACTGCGTGGGAGAGTAGAAGAACGATCAAGTGAATGGCGCAAACCCCATCAGAGAGGCTGGATGAGAAAGAGAGGGAGGTTTTGCAGGGCCCGGAGACCCGCCGCCGCAAGAAGACTCGGTCGTTCGTGTCTGATTACATGTCGCATTGTAGAGGCTCGGGATCAGCAATGTCACAATCCCCATTCCTCGCTAGGGCGCGACCGGTTAGGAGCAGAGGCATCGCGGGGCACCATCCCTGTGAACGAACAATAACGGCCCCCCGGGGGGGGGCGGGGGTAAGGGGGAAAGGGGGCGAAGACAAAGGGCATGGGATTTTTGGACCTCTGGCAATGCCGTCTCATGTCATCCACCTCTGACCTTAAACGTAGTATGGAGAGCTAGAAGATGCGGGATCGGGATCTATTAGATGGCCTTCGTGTGGCATCGAGGGGTGACTTCTACATGGGAAACTTAGCTAGGTCTAGTCGCCAAGCATTGTTGTCTGACAACTTGCATATATTCTCGCCCATTTAGTCGTGCCAAGAAACACTAGGGGTTAACATAAGTGGAGCCTGGTGGACCTTCCAATGGTACCTTACATACTTGCCCTCCTTGTAGGGACCGCGATATCATATTCTCCGGAGGATGGATGCGTCAGCCACCGAGGTCATGGTAGGGACACTATTCGAACGTACCTCTTTCCACCCACGCGCCCGGAAACCAGAGCCGACTGAAGGATTCCCTAACACAACTAATTTGGCACGCATTGTAGGTATCTCGGGAATTCCACAGTCAGCCTCCTGTGTACATCTTTTTGATTTCAGTGCAAGTGGCGCGCATTTTTTCCCACCGTTTGGCTTAGCATTAATCTTGGCTTCTCTTGGCTTGTCATGACCTAGATCTCTAACGGCTGGAGCAGCTGTAACACGGGGGGTTTTGCACTCGTGGTTTAGTGGAGGTCCTAGTTGCGGATGTAATCAATCCCAATGGATAGAAAGATATCGGGTTTTCTACCAGATGGGCATGATGATCAGTATGGCGGGCAAGACCACGACCACGGCCACGGCCACGACCGGCACCAATATGGTGACGGTGATGGTGGGTTATCAGGGAGACGACAATGGCTATGACCAGCCAGAGTACTCGCCGCACCACCATGGCCATTGCTAGTTGGCTCGCATATCAAGTCGAGGAGGCACACCGGAGATGATACAGGCTGGTCGGCTGCATTTGGATTGGTTCACCGGCGCATGTTTGTAGATGATTGGAAGACGAGTTCTGCATGCAAGTACAAACTCCCCAATCTGAGGCACTGATTGAACTTGTTTGTACTCACTCGATGCCCACGCGGGCCGCCGGCCTCAGCCGCAGGCGGAGTCCCATATCGCCTTGGCACGCCAAGCCCGGCCATCGGAGGGAAAAAATGACCCCCCATGACAGAAGGTGGTAAGACTTTTTTGTCATGACATGCTGTTCCACCACCAGGCTAAGTCTCTTGCCTGGGAGACAGTTCGCTTCCTCTCGCAGCTTGCCGGAGTTCCACAATGCTCGTCTCGAGCCGCATAGCTTTGGAGAAAGATGACCGAACAAGGCCGCGACAGATCCGCCCTGGTCCTCTACGGGACAGAAACCGGCACGGCGCAAGACCTGGCCGAAGAAGTCGGCCGCACCCTTGAGAGACTGCATTTCCGGACCGATGTTCTGGGGTTGGACGCCGCCACACACGGCCTTCTCCACCAATACACCCTCACAGTCTTCGTCGTCGCCACCACGGGACAGGGTGACTTCCCCGAGAATGCTCGGCGGTTTTGGACCGGCCTCCTCCGCAAGAAACTCGCCGCCACCACGTTGGCTGGTGTTGACTATGCACTCGCAGGCCTGGGGGATACCTCGTACCCCAAGTTCAACTGGGCCGCGAGGAAGTTGGACAAGAGGCTTCGTCAGCTGGGTGCTTCGCCACTCGTCGAGCCGTGCGAGGCTGATGAACAGGGCGACGAGGGCACCGATGGCGCCTTTCTGAGCTGGATACAACTGTTTCGGGAGACTGTATTGAACACCTTCCCCCTCGCAGACGGTCAGGACCCAATTCCCAACGATGTTCTTCTGCCGACTAAATGGCGCCTGGAACGGGCCTCCGAACACCCCGCCGCGTCTGGCGCCTCGTCAATCGCCGACGGCAACCATCGGCCTTCTTCAACTACCACTGGACCCAACGCTCCTCCGAATTCCTTCTCGGTATCTTTGGAGTGTAACCAACGAGTCACCCCGCTAGATCACTGGCAAGATGTTCGGTTCATGAGTCTCAAAACCTCGGCAAAAATCTCTTACATGCCTGGTGACGCGCTCGCCATTTCCCCGCAGAATATCGCAGAGGACGTGGAATCTCTGATCACCCGCATGGGCTGGCAACGTGTCGCGGATGTGCCGATCCGCCTTGTGTCAACACGACGGTCGACTTCGGCCACAACTTTGGCCGGTCTTGCAAGCGATGCGATCTTCCGCCGCGCCCGTCTCACCCTCCGAGCCCTTCTGACCGAGTATTTGGACATCAACGCCATTCCCCGCCGGTCCTTCTTTGGCTGCATCGCAAACTACACCAGCAACGACATGCACAAGGAGCGACTTCTCGAATTTACGGACCCGCAATACCTCGACGAGTACTACGACTACGCGACCCGTCCCAGGCGGAGTATCCTCGAGATCTTGCAGGAGTTCGACTCGGTGCATCTGCCTTGGGAGGAAGTCACCAGTATCTTCCCGGCAATGCGCCCGAGACAGTTCAGCATAGCGAGCGGTGGACTGTTGAAGAGCACCGAGGACAGAGCGACCAAATTCGAACTGTTGGTCGCCATCGTCAAGTACAGGACCGTCATCAAGCGCATCAGAGAGGGCGTGTGTACACGCTACCTGGCGCAATTGCCGGCGGGGACCACGCTGCAGGTCTCTCTGAAGACGGAAGGTCGGTTCTCCAGGGCGGGTGAGTTGGCCGACCAGAGCCACATCCTCGTCGGTGCCGGCACGGGCATCGCGCCTCTCCGGGCACTCATTCACGAAAAGGCCATGCAAGACCAGGTCTCGGGCCCGACGGCGCTCTTCTTTGGCTGCCGCAACGCGAGGTCAGACTATTTCTTTCGCGACGAGTGGACCGCGCTTCAGACAAAAGATCACCCAACTGCCGGCCTCGAAGTCATCACCGCCTTCTCCCGAGATCAGACGTCCAAGGTCTACGTCCAAGATCGGATGCGCCAGCGAAGCCGCTTGATCTGCCAGTTTCTCAGGGACAAGGCCGCCACGGTCATCGTGTGCGGATCCTCCGGCCAGATGCCCAAGGCTGTCAGGCAGGCGTTGGTCGACGCTCTTGTCCAGCAGGGCAAGAGCACCGAGAACGAAGACAAGGCTGTGAGCGGACAAGGAATGGTTCCTGTCGAGGAGGAGCCGATACAGACCGAAGAGGATGCGGAGAAGTACCTCGCAAGACTGGAGAAGGTGGGCAGATACAAACAGGAGACGTGGTAGCAGGGAATTCACGTTCTTCTTGTCCCATGTCTTTGATCGGGATCTTGTCTGTTGGTCGAAGATGTTTACGATTCCGAGCGGGAAGGCAAATACATAGATATTTTGCGGCTCAGGACAACCGTGGTCGTCCGACCCGTTAAATACAAGAGATGCTGCTGCGTACACTCCTCTCTCGAAGGAGTAAGTAACATTCCTCCTCAGATAGGTCGTCGTATCATGCCCGATTTCATTAGGAAGCAGAGAAGCAACCAGATTTCCTTGATCACATTATCAATCGATTTTCCCCCCCTTCCCAAAATAAAATAAAACAGCAGGATTCCCACACCAAGAAAGTCATTGCTCTCTCCAGGTCAGCTTGACAATCATTTGAGAAAGAAAACTTGGCAACAAAGTTTCCACCAGCTAAACCCGCACGCTGGCCTTGTCCTTTTCACATGCACATCCGTTCTTGCCAGCCGCGACCTCGCTGGGCGTTCTGGCGTAGCTGGGTGGGACGTCGAGAGCCGGGTTGCGCACGAAGAAGTTGCGCGGCCGGAGGAGCAGCGTCATGGGCTCCGCGGGCATGACCGGGAAGTCCTCCGGGGCCGGGAAGTGGGTGATGCCAAAGGTGTGCCATAGCACAATGTCCTCATTGTCGATCTTGGCCGTCGGGTTCGCGGCGATCCACTGGGGCAGGCCCATTGACGGTTCGCCCGAGGTTTGCGGCACGTGGCGTCCGGCAGGGTGCACTTGGTCGTCAGAGTCTATTACCAGATGAGAATCGTTAGCAACCGATTACATATTTCGCACGATGTTAGGTATGAGGTGGGTGAAGGGCAAAATGGAGGCGTTGGCCCGACGGGAGAGAAACTTACACTTCGTCACATGCACGGCGTGTCTCGAGAAGCCAGCCCTCTTCCACACCAGGGAGCCTTCCTTGGGCAGCAGCGTCGGTACCTCTCTGCTCACCAATTTGTACGACACGGGCTTCTTGGAATAGGGGTTCAGCTTGTTCTCGTTGCACATGTCCCAGGTCCGCGAGCTCGATCCATTGTAGTCCGCCATGGCCTCCTTGGGGTTTGTATACTTTGTCCGCTTGGCATAGAAGGCATTGCCGTAGAAATTTTCAGCAGAACCTGGTTCACCGGCACCCTGGGCGGCGTCAACCTGGAATACCGTGTTGTTGGGCCCGTCGATGTTTGGGTCGACGCGCAGACAGAACAAGTGTTGATGGTTGTGGGCATTGACACCGGGATACACTTCGGTGCCCCATCCCTTTGTGTCTTCACCGGGGTTCATCGCATAGGTGTTGAGAATACCGGTGAGTTTGATCTCGAGCTGGACGGTGCCGTCTTGGTGGAAGACCCAGTAGACGCAGTACTCGTAGTTTGCGGCGGTAAAGATGTGGGAGATGATCAGCTTGCGGGCACGAGTCACGACCACAGAGTCGTCTCTGAAGTCGGAGTGCTTGAAAAGAATGCCGTTGTCTTCTTCGTGGATGCAAATTGCGTTCTTGATCGTTTGTGCCGCGCCAGCCTTGTTCACAAACTCGGCGTCCATGTAGTGAATACTGCCCTTGCAATCACAACCCAAGCTGAGTGAGTTGGTCATGTATCCACCACCGTACTCGCCCAAGTCAAAGGCGTGTTTGCGTTGATGCGGATGTTCGGGGTTCCCGTAGGGAACAACCATTTCTGCAAGTGAAAGCCGGTAGAAAATGGGCCGGGCCTTGTTCTCTACCTTGTCGAAAAAGGAGATGTTGTTGAGGACGATGCCCTCTCTGTAGTTGAAGCCTACATGGACGGACCAGTTCTGCCATTCGATGATGCGGCCATTGATTTTGAAACTGACACCCTCGGGCTGGGTGATGTTGATCGGCTTGAGGTCTGTTCGGTAGCCACCGATCTCTTCGATCGACTTGACATGGTAGTTGTTCGGTGGTGCCTTGCTCAGTGGTCGCCGAACCTTGGGTACGTCGATGTGGATGATCTTCTGCTTGTTTGAGTCGTAGATAGGGCAGAAATCTAGGGGGTAGGAGTACTGGGAGTCGTCGACGTGTGGTCGGTAGTACATCAGTGCCTGCTGGAGTCTGACCGAGTTGCCGAATCTCTCGTCGTATCCAATAGTCCAGGGATCACAGTAGACCTTGTGCATTTCCTCGGGCGGGATGCCAATGAGGCCGCACTGCTCAATGACACCGGGGTCCTTGCGTACGACATGCTCGACGATTTGAAGATCTTCCATGGTGATCAGGGGCTGCACATCGGGAGTGTGTTCCCATTTGATCACCTTGCGCTCTGTGAGGTCGACATGGCCGTCGAACACTTTGCCCTCGGGCGAAATGACCACAATATCGGCAATACGGTGTGGTTTGGGTGTGTGATCGGGATCAGCCAGCCATTTCAGCATCTGAGCCTTGGGTGGCTCCAACAGCGTGACGGCGTTGTAGTACAGCTTGCCATACTGTGACCGAAGCAGGGACACGGCTGTCTCGATCTCAAGGGAGGAGAGCGGATCGAATGGATGGGGAGGAGCAACAGTGTTGGAGACCTGTTGAGCCAACTGCTTCACACGCTCAAGAACCATGGCTGATGGTCTGAGGGTATTGATGGACTAGACAGAAAGAGAACAGACAACGCAATGCGACAAGAGCAGAAGTTGGGAAGAGAAAGGAGGGGAGAGCTTCAGGACCCAACAGATATATATGTGTTCGTGTGCCCGTTGGCGGCTAACCTGACCTTCAACTCCTCACGATTGAAAAGGGCAATGCTATGCTCTAGCCGATACCAACAACCCAGGCCTAAGCATCCAGAGCTCGCTGTCAAATGCATTATACCACGAACGATAAGCAGACAGTGGCCGATAAGGGTCTACGAGAACGTCTTGCTACTCGCCAGCTTCGCGGTCGCTTTCCTCTTTTCCGCATCTGAATCCGTCCCAACTTCTGACTGGCCTGGCAAAGTTTGCCATTTGCGGTCTAGATCTTACTCCACACTTGGAGATCAGAAAGAGAAGGCGACCACGAGCAAGAGATATCTAGGGTTGTGCGGTGCTCAGCGTTTCGGGTGATGGGAAATGGCTGATTTCTACATACACACAGAGGCTCGAGGACGCGGGACGAGGAACGAGGCAACCCACAGTGGCCCGATGAGAAGAGCGCAGAGACAATGGGAAACAGCTCTCTGGCCGAGCAAACTCCTCGCACGTAGATCCAAGTCCTGCTATCTCAACGAAACCGGGTTGTTGACTGAAGCCTTTATGAGCAAGGCTGTGCTATATTGGATACAAGGCTGCATGTCCTTGACGAGAGGCAGCCCTTGGAAAAAACGTGAATGTGCCTGCGCTGTACCAACCAGGCGCTCTCCAGCGTGGATTGCCTTTTTGCCAGTTCCCTCATTTTCACTTTCTGCACATGGCCACTCCAATTTTCTCATATGTACAATGACCGTTCACTTGGGCCACGCTCTTTTCTGTTGGGTGTGTCTCGGCTCACTCCAGCACTTGGTCGTGAGCAGAGGGAGAGTCGTTTTGCTGCCGAGGTCGTCTAGTGGTGTTCCGACTTCTCCTCATGACCATGACCGTGCGACTCTTTCAGAAACAGTTGTTCGAAGATAACATAACCCGTGAACGCGACCACGGCGATTCCAAATCCGGGGAATGCTCCCTTAAACCGATTCCATCTCGAGAAAGGTCCGGTGTATCGCCATGCCTCACTAGGCACTTGTCAGGTTTTGTTTCGCCATGATCTGTTGTCTTGCTTACTGTCTGCTCCATGGATCTCTCGCCCGCCACTCTTTACTTGTTGCTGCATCGGTAAAGGCTTTCATGCTGAAGCCGGTTGGGTTGCTCGGAGGCGCCATGATGAATCGCGAGGCGAGGTAGATAGAGTAGGACTAGGAGCAGGCGGATGTTGGAGCTCCAGAGCCCACGTGGGAGTTGTGTCGAGGTGAAGCCGAGTTGGTATCTTGAGATGAGAGCTTGATGGTGGTACAAGATCTTCGGCCCAGGAAAGCAATGGGCAGGTGATGACTGAAACAGCTCTGTGGTTTGTGAATTGTGTCTGACAGCAGTTTTACGAGGCAATAGAGGCTGCTTCAACAGTCTTTTTGCGGCCAAGCGTCAATAAAAGAATTGCCAGACACTTATTTATTTAGCACTAGCGCAACTGCGGTCTACACTTCACTCTACTACGGCCGCGCATTCGTGCCTTTGATGTCGCGCTTTGGGGCCAGACTTTGTCCCGCCGCATATTGGCCATCGAACTTGCACCGAGTCCTGCGCAAATCACAAACACCAAACCATGATCGCTCAACAACCTTCTCTCTCGTAAAGCGGATGGCAGCCTCGACTTTTACACTCATGGGCCAGTCACCCGCTTCCCAATAACCAGCGCAACAGCAAATCTTCATATTCCCGCAATGAACACGTCTGAAATCACACCATCTCCTCCGCACTCTCGATTGCCTCTAACTCCATCATGGCTCCTCCACGTTATGGAAATCAGTCCATAAACGGACCTTATCATATCCAACAAAATCACCTTCAGTCCCACGCGTCCTCACATCAACATGGCGCCCTACCGCCTCCCACTCACCTAGGCACCCCGTCCTTCGGCGCCGCTGGCTCCTCCAACGCCAGTCCGTTTGCTTTGACCGGCAACCTAAACAATGGCTTTGAGCGTGGCATGCTCGATGGCGGCCTTCTTCCTAGTCAAATGGCTCAAATGGGATTCTCTAGAGGTGGTCCAGTGCAGGGTCACCAAGCCTACGACGGGCTCGGGGTGCCTCTGGAGAACAAGGACGATGCTAGGATCCGCAATGTCTGGAAGCATAACCTCAAGGAAGAGATGGCGACGCTGAGACAGCTAGTGGACATCTACCCGTACATTGCAATGGTAGGCGACTGTCTTCGGTCATGGTCATCCGTAACTGCGCTCACATGGATTGTTTAGGACACCGAATTCCCAGGTATTGTCGCGCGGCCCATTGGCCAGTTCACCACGAAGGCCGACTATCACTATCAAACGCTACGGTGTAATGTTGATCTCCTCAAGATGATCCAGCTAGGAGTCACTCTTTTCAAGCCTGACGGTACCCTACCTCCGCCCGACGCCGCTCCTTCGCAGAAATCTCAGTTCCACCAAAACGTCCTTCCTACGCCTTGCACGTGGCAGTTTAACTTCAAGTTCTCTCTGGAGACTGATATGTATGCGAGAGAGTCGACGCAAATGCTTTCAAAAGCTGGCATCGACTTTGAACGGCACGCGAAGCACGGCATCGATCCCAATGACTTTGGTGCTCTGTTGATCAGCTCAGGTCTGGTGCTGGATCCTGATGTCCATTGGATCTCTTTTCACTCAGGCTATGACTTTGGCTACCTCATGAAACTCATGATCTGCAAGCCCTTACCTGAAGACGAGGTCACGTTCCACAAGTATTTGGAGAAGTTCTTTCCCTCCCTGTTTGACATCAAATTCATCCTCAAACACGCCGGTGTTAAGGGACAGGTTAACAGCGGACAACCTCTCACCCAAGAAGCGGCGATGATGGTCCAGCGCATAATGACCAAGTCCGGTCTTCAAGACATTGCAGAAGAGCTGGCAGTGGCAAGGATCGGACAAGCACATCAAGCGGGCTCGGACTCCTTGCTTACTGGGCAAGTGTACTTCAAGATGAAGGAGAAGATCTTCAACGGCACGATCGAGGAGGACAAGTACCGCTCACAGGTTTGGGGACTCAATGCGCAGATGCCAACAGGTGGAAATACTGCCGGTGGCGGCGGTGGTGCAGGAGGGGCCATTGGAGCAGCTCGCGACTTCAACACCCCAAACATGAATGGCGCGACCTTTTACAACCAGAACGGAACACCGACAACCCCACAGACCGGTAACATCGGCATGGCAGGTGGACAGGGAGGAGGAGGACCTTCGTCGCACACGCCTGTCCCCTCCCATACTGGCAGTGCCGGGATGATGGGGTCCATGACACCAGGAGGATTTGGCAATTTCCAATACCAAAAGGCGATGAGTTAGGGGCCCTCCCCTCGAGGTCGTCGCCTGCGTAGAGGAGGCAAAAGAGGACTGGGGGAGGTCTCTAGTCACGGTATTGGTCGTGACGCAAATTCTGGTCTTGATCCGGCGCCTGTTCTGAGCCTTGATTTCGCCCTGGAGACATTTCAGCAACCTTCGAGTCTGTTGGATCCTGCTCCTGGGACTGGATTCTGGCAATTCCCTGCACCGCCGCATTTTCACCTTCTGCCTTTGCACCCAGCGCAGCAGTTTTATCAGTCCCAGCATTGGCAATACCCACCGTTACTTGTACCTCCACCGCTGGAGCCTTGGGACTTTTGGAGTTGAAGATGCTTTGATTTGCATGTATCTGTGTACTCTCCACTTTTATCTCACTTTCCGTGAGCAGTCGCTCTCGGTCCACCTTTTCCTTTTCTCTGCTGGCGGCGTGGAAATCAAAATCAAATCGAAATGGTAGTCGGCGTTCCTGTTCTTGTTGCTTTCTGGCTCCCTTTTCGGTACTCCTGGACCGGGGCGGGCGCCTTCATGCTTTGGGTATGTACGGCAGATGGACGGGGGGTTGGGTAGCGGGGCGCGATAATGGGGTTGAAGGATTGGATTCAGAACCGGGACTCGAGAAAGTTCGGGAGGGAGAGGCGGATGGAGAGGGGAGACGAGAACGCAGAAAAGAAAAGAGAGAGAGAGAACAAACCAGAAAAAGGAGAAGCATGGGACAGAACAAGTGATTGAATGATGCAATGCTAGCCTGCGGTCATGCGGCTGGTGTTTCAGGGCATGTGTGTTGTCTGTCTTTTTACGTCTTGTGTATTCAATTCACCGTTCCTTGTCAAGACTTGGTCCTCTGGAGTTTCCACGGTCGTGGAACTCGAGCCCAACCAAGCAAGTACTGTAGGGTAGGTAGGTAGGTACCTCGTGCTTAGGTAGGTGTGCTACATAGAAGGAGAAAAAGCAGTGGAGTCGTCTTGTCTGTGTACACCAAATTACCGATAAATAACCCCTGTCCTTTGTGTGTGTGTGTGTGTGTGTGTCTCGCAGGCAGTCAAGTAGTTGAAACAGAAACAGAAACAGAAACGGATAGAGAGGAAAAGACATTTTTGACTGCCCCCCAGAAAAAGAGATTCGTGTGTATATAGATATACCTTGTATATATCCCCGTGCCCACCCGCCAACCAGACTTGAGAGCCGATCCATTTGCTTCTCTCTTCCTGTGCCAACCGAAAATCCAAAATTGAACGCCGGCCTTGTCTGCCTGTCCGCCTGTCCGCCTGTCTGTCCGACCGTCCATTAATGCCCGATGAATGCTCGTAGACCTTGCCTTTGAGCCGTTCTCCTCAACGTATAGATTTTCGTGGGTCTTCGTCCCCTTCTTCCCCTTTCCCGGTTCAAAAAGGTCGAGAGAGGTGTCTTTTCGTCTTGATTGTGGCGGATAGTGCGATTGATCTCCGTCGTGGAATGTTCTCACTGTCTCGTAGCGCCTGATATCCGTCCGCGCTCTGGTGATATCCATTTCCATAGTCTGACACTGTCACTTGTGCGCCAGAGGCCAGATACTTGACTGTGCCGTTCTTGATCGTCTTTGCTGAGTCCATAGTCGGTAACGTTCAGCTGCCCAAATACTTCCTCCATCCATCCCTCCAAACACTTCTTTGACCTTCGTCCGCGACCCCGGGTCTTTCGCCAACTCTGAATCTTTCCCATCGCGCGTCTCTTCCCGTGCCAATGCAGATGATCGTGGAATTTTCAATCCATCCCAGAATCCCCTTCTGTGGCCGGTTTGGCAAGGACCCCAGCGCGGGCAAGTAGGATAGTGTCGTCTGATTAAAGCCGGCAGTCTCATCACCCATCTCAAAATGCGCGGAAGCAAACGAGTAGATGTCTGAGAAAACTCGGGGGAGCAGGGGAATCTTCGAAAGGAACCCCCATTTCTGGTTCGTCGCTGGCTCCTCTTCAGGCAAGGCGGGAATATGTGGTGACTGAGAGCGGCGTTGTTGAGAGGTCGGGCTGAGTGGGCTGGTGGGTTGCGACTGTGAAGAGGGATTTGGCGGCAGATCAAAGACGTGTAAGGTCGATTTGTCCGACGTCACGGCGAGCATATTGCAGTCAGGGGAGATGGCTATGCTGAAAATATAGGCCGGGTCCACTCCACGACGCAGTTCTGCTATCTTGGTACAATTTGCGGTCGAGAAGACACGAATCAATGTGCCCGTCTCACTGGCAGTAGCTAAGAGTTGTCCGTCCCTGCTCAGGTCCATCGCTCGCAAGGCAGACGTGTGCGCTGGGATGATGCTTACATTGCCCGACCCCAGCTCCACAAGCTGTACTTTTCCTGGCGACCGGCCGGGGAAAGCAACAATCCTGGAGCCCAAACAGCATAGACCCAGCGGATTGTCTGCAGTTTCAAATATGGCAGTTCTTTCAGGAGGCGAGGAGAACTTATAGAGGTTGATGCTATTCTGGATGGCGATGGCGATCCACGACTTGGTCAGGCGAACTCGTAGCACGGCGGTCTTTTGCTCCAGCGTGATGGCAACTTTTTGTTTCGCGTCGTCCCATATCATAACCTGCCAAATATATATCAGTTTCCGGGCTCTTCATCCAGGTGTCTCACTTCGTACTTTGGTCTGAGGCCATCTTGGGTTCTTTCCACCTCCAACCAAGGCCAGATAGTTATATCGCCCCAGCATTTCAGCTGTACCGATTCCGGCATTCAGATCTATGGCGTGGATTAGAATGTGAGGGTTCGCAACGCGTCGGAGAGATCGTACCTCTGGAAGCCTTGAGTTCGCAGGGATCCGAATTGAAAACTGGAGAGAACATCAACATTCGCCCAGACCATTACACGGGTCTGAAGGGGTTCCCTGTACATACCACAGAAGCCCGAGTCGAGGCCAATGGCGAAACAGCTCGCATCGCTGTTGAACGAGGCTGAAAGCGCAATCGGCCCAGCAGAGTCATCGATGACGGGACGGGTATTCATGGTGCAACGGGGATTCAATGATCGACAACAATGCAAGCATTGTGAGTAGAGATAAGCAGGGTGCGGTCAGGGATTGAATAGAACCAGTATGGAATTCTGGAAGATTTCCATGATGTGATGTTGGGTAACGATGGTCCTGAGATCAGCGCCTGGACATTGTTGTCGGTTGTGACCATAAAGAGATGACGCAGGTAGACATCTGGAGTGTAGTGCGTAGCTAGGTACTTAGGAGCCCAATGATAGCCAGAGCCAGAGCCTAGGGGTATTTGGTAGGCGCCTATCCCACAAAGGAGCACTGTACGAGTTACTTGGGAGGCAGCTTAGAAAGAGCTTAGGGGGCACCGGGGCGTGTGATGGGCAGCTCGGTTAGGCTCGCTAGGCGCTAAGCTTGGCGGATCTGTGGTCTGTGGGTAGCCGCACCAAACAGCGACATCATTTCCCGCCTCTTGTGGCAAGCATCAAGCCCCGGGCGACCCTTTGGGCCCCTAAAAACATGGTCCCTGCTGATTATTGATTGCAACAGAGGCCAATTGGTGGTGATGGTGTGGCTGTGTCATCCGAGCTCATCCAACATTCTTCCGGAGTTTGAGAAAGATGTCATGACCTGCCCACGCGACTCAATTTCTGAGGGATCAAATACCCACGAGACCCCGACTATAACCACATTCATACTCGGTACAGTCTTTAGCAATAGTATACCGGTTGCTCAACAGAGTCACGCTTCAACAGAATCCGGATTACCCCTCCACGACGGTGATATCCATGTCGACTTGAGCTGGCTCTCGACATCCAACCACAATGAGTTAACAGAGACTAACAGTAACTGACGGCAATGTCATCAAGAGCTAGCGAGGAGAGTTATCTCTCACCAAAACCATGGAGATCCGGGGATCCTTGGGGATCGGGAACGACACTGCCAGGCACTTATCCGCCCTCGCCCGAACCAAATGAAGCTGATCGGTCTGGGCCTCAATCACTATCAGCCGCCGTCAAGGCTCGAAAGGATGAGTATATCCGGAAGAAGTCGATGAAAATCAAAGTCGGTACTTGGAATGTTGCTGCACTCAGTGGAACTGATAAGGACCTGGGCGCCTGGTTTGTTGGTGGATGTGGTGTCAAGGGCCTCTCGCAGAACTTATCAGGCCTTTCGGTCGATGACAGTGATGACGACTCTGACAGTGACAAGACCGTCGAGTCCGTCGAGGCCCAAGAGGAACGTGTGGCAAGGACAAGGAAGAGTGTTACCGTACCACTGCACGATGGTCCGGCAGAGGCCCACCACGAGCAGATCGACCTGTACGTGCTAGGACTACAGGAAGTCATCGACGTGACTTCCATGACCGAAGCCATCAAACCTTACACAGACCCCAACCCTGCGAAGAAGTGGAAGAAGTCATTGCGAAGAGCTCTGCCAAAGGGTTACAAGAAAGTAGCCGAAGAACAACTCTTTGGCTTGCTTCTCCTCATCTTTGCTTCCCCGGAACTAGCGCCCAGTATTACTTCAGTCAGTACGACGTCGGTCGGAACTGGTCTGATGGGTTACTTCGGCAATAAAGGTGCTGTGGCCGCGAGGATCGTGGTTGCAGAGGCCACCAAACTCTGCTTTATCAACTGTCATCTGGCCGCTGGCGCGGACCAAGCAGCTTTGGCTCGCCGGATCTGGGATACCAGTCAGATTTTGAGCAAAACCCGCTTTTCTCCGATCACAGACAGTGAGGTCATTGAGCCCAAGGAGGAAAGGATTGGAGACGAGGACTTTGCATTCTGGTTTGGCGACCTCAACTATCGCCTGGACGACATTCCCGGTCAGGACGTCAGGAGATTGCTTTTGCTGCACACACAGAACGAGTACGACGTCCAAAACAAGTCGAAGCGCAAGATCGACAGTGAGCTGGGTTACATATCTGCCTCGACAAGCGACTCGCAACTGCCAGCTCCGCATCCACGTTACGAATACAAGGATGCAGAAAGACCAGCTAGCGAAAGCACCGCCGAACCAGAACTAGACCCCAAATCTGACCCTGCTTCTCTCCATACCACTCTTCAGTCTTTGCTGGCACACGATCAACTGCGCGCGCAACAAAGGCTAGGCAAGGCATTCCACGAAGGATGGCGGGAAGGAGACATAAATTTCTTGCCCACATACAAATATGATGTGGGTAGTGTTGGGATGTTCGACTCGGGAGACAAGAAGAGAAGCCCTAGCTGGTGCGACCGGATTCTGTACAGAACTCGCCGTGACAAGGACATATATGAGGAGAGGGCCAGACAGCGCGAAGAAGCTCGTAAGAAGGATGCTTCGATGAGGGCCCGCGGGATCGACGAGGCCAATGCAGAGCACGACGTCCTATTCGACTACGATCCTGATACAGATGGGCTTGCGTATGGTGATGACTGCGACGAATACGACGAGACACAAGATGTGCTTCACGATGCAGAACTTGTACAGTCGCACGAGGAATATGGAGACATGGTTGAGCTCAACAACTACATCTCACACCAACGGATACTGTCATCAGACCACAAGCCACTGAACGCGGTCTTCACCATATTGTACGACGCCGTTATACCAGAATTGAAGGCAAAAGTACACCAGGATGTTGCGAAACAGTTGGACAAGGCAGAGAACGAGGGCCGTCCGTCGGTAACAGTGGTAGTGGACAATCATTCCGAAGAGCCAATACCAAACGCTGACGGTCCGGCAGACATGAATGTCGTACACTTTGGTGAGGTGCGTTATGGTGTTAGGAAGACGAGAATGGTCACCATAGCGAACACGGGGCAAATCAACGCCACGTTTTCTTTTGTGGAACGCCCACCAGAACCTGGCAGAGGTGTGCATGCTGTACCGAGATGGCTCGAACTCAGCGTCGAACCTGGCACTATTCATCCATCCGAGCGTGGTGAGCACAACGGCACACGTGAAATCGTCCTGTCCCCGGGTGAAACCACTGTTATTGACCTGACTATTGACATCTGGGATGGCGAGTTGGTACACGACTTGAATGAGGGAGAGGCAGACCTCGAAGATGTGCTTGTACTCCGAGTCGAGAATGGTCGAGATCACTTCATACCCGTCAAAGGCACATGGCTTCAGTCATCGTTTTACCGTACGCTGGATGAATTGGTGCTAGCCCCTGAAGGCGGTGCCCGGCAGTTCCGACAGCACCAAAAAGCGAATGGCTCAGTAAGCGACACAGAAACCACAAATTCAGCTGCACATCACTCGGCACCCAAGGAACTGTATACACTCACCGAGATTCTTCCCATTTACATTGAGCGTTCGGCAGCTGAATGGGGGATGTTACACGAAGGGGAAACGCCGCCGTGGCAACGTGAGAATGGAGGAGCGTCTTGGCCTTTCGGCCGTGACACTTGGACCTTGCCCGAAGGCGAAGAACGGTCTGAAATGTTGGCCGGAGTCAGGGAAGCATTGGACACGGCAAATCGGTTGGACATGAATTTCAACCTCGACATACCGAGCATTGTTCGACTGGAAGTGCTCGCCGAAACACTGGTTTCCTTCCTTCAATCGTTGAGAGACGGAATCGTCCCTGCTGGGCCCTGGGCCGAGGTCGAGAGAAGACTGAGCACTTTGGAAAAGGGAAAGACACAGCTGACACCACAAGAGATTCAGGATATGGTCATGGATGCAGTGTCTTCTTCTGCGGTGCACAGCGTGTCGCTGACGTTTATCACCTTCTTGCTCGTCAGAATCGTCAACGAAATGATGATGAACAGTGCTCCGGCGCCTGGATCGGCCACGCCGACCACGCCGACCTCGTCACATCGCACCTCCTTTGGGCGGTCGAGGGCGTCCACCGTCTCCACCGACTCCGGACATCGTCTTTCGACAACCACGTCGGAAGCACCCAGTAAGAGAAGCCTCTTCCCGGCACTACGTCGACGGCGCACAAACAGCGTGTCGTCTTCGTCTGCGAAGTCAGAGGCGGGCACGGAGGTGGATGGGGCGGTTGCGGTTACAGAGCGACGAAAGAAGCTTGTTGACGCATACCTCGAGGTATTTGCGCCCGTGGTCTTTCGGGCTGAAACCGAGGCAAGGCTCAAAGGGAAAGACAAGAAGGCGTTGGATGCTCGCAAGAAGCGAATCCTCGAAGCGTTTCTCAGTGAGAAGCAATTTTGAGGGTGTTGATATCTCGTTTTTGGACACACCTTGGATACAGCACGAGACCGGCAATGCATTAGATCCGTACGATATCAGATAAGAGCCCTGCAATTTTTGGATCTTCCTGTTCTTCCAAGAATTGGGTTCACACTTTCATGGAAACTATGCTGTGTATCCTCCGTAATAGAGAGTCAGTGCCACCACAGAATAGACCACGGACGGGAGAGCTTGGTATGGTGGGCATTGGGCTCTCGACCTTGCCCACGACGAGGCTGGACCAAGTAATTACACTTGTACGAGGGTCACGATTAAGAGAAGAGGATCCAACGACCGAGACTCAGTCTGTTCTGCATGCCATGCGGAAACCTCAACTGGGAAATACCGTGAATCACACTGCAAAGCCTCGTATACGACTGCCTTTCCCGTGCAACGAGACTGAGTAGGCAAGACCAATACTGGCACGTGACATGGTACCCAATCTGGCATGGCGTCAACCGCGCAGCCTCGCCAGGAACGACATGACGTCATAGCTCTCCCATCAGCGACCGTCTCACTATCCTTCTTTCGATGGCCTTATTCTCTCATCTGGTGTCATGATGCCAGTCAGCTTTTGCAAAGACGGGAAAAAAAGTCCCTCACTCGCTCGCTTTGTCAGTGCCACTGCTAGAGTCAGTCCCACGCCCCCACATCCGACTTCCACTCTGCACCCTCCAGAGCGAAGCGGCGTCCTTTCGGGAGAGAAGGCGATGTGAGCGGTTTTTGGGAGGGTCTGGTACTTGCTAACTAGGCGGGTAGGTAGGTAGGTAGCTCGGTAGGTATGATAGGTAAGGAACAATACCGCGAAGAAATGACGTAGATTTCTTCTTTGGGTCATGTCCACAATGCGGCGAGGCGAGGCGATTGGGTATCTACCTACCGGCCCTCCCTGCGAGATTATGTATATGTACGCATGGCATGAGAGTACCATGTGGAAATGTATGTGTGTATGTATATATATGACTCTATAAACTCCCTTGCCCGTCTGTCCAGCGGTACATCAGGTTTTTCACATCTGCAAGCATTGAAATACATTCCATTCCATCACACTAATACTCCGGTGGAAGACCATTCGAACCGACAGTAACTCCAATAATACTACCTACCTATTACATACATACATAGGTACAAAGAACTCAGACACCTCAACCGCCAGACATCACTATATACGTTCCTAAACTCTGAACTCTAAACTCACACACACACACAAAGAGAAAGAGAAAGAGAAAGAGAAAGAGAA